AAAAAAAAAAAAAAGATTTAATTAGTTAGAGTAGGATTTTTTTTTTTGCGTTGGGAGTCTCACTGTGTCGCCCAAGCTGGAGTACAGTGGCATGCTCACAGCCGCCACAATCTCAACCTGCTGGGCTCAGGTGATCCTTCCACCTCAGCCTTCCAAATAGCTGGAACTACAGGCACGCGCCACCATGCCTGGCTAATTTTTTTAATTATTGTAGAGATGAGGTCTCCCCAAGCTGCCCAGGCTGGTCTCAAATCTGTGGGCTCAGACAATCCTCTCACCTTGGCCTCCCAAAGTGCTGGGGTTATAGGTGTGAGCCACCGCACCCAGCCATCTGGTAATTTTTTATTGAACATTTAGATGATGCTCCCTTCTTTGAGAGTGGATCTAGTTTTCTTCTAACAGACAAAGTCTAAGCAGATCACCTTGAGGGAACAGAGACTAGTTTTCGCTTGCCCATAGTCGTGGGGCATAACGCTTCTGGGATATTATTTCCTGGACTTCTCTTTGCCCATAATTCCAACAAGATTTTGTCTTCCAGTCAGTAGAAACTGCTGAAATATTTATTCAGAAATATTAGAGACTTCAGGGAGAAGATTCTAGCAGCCTATTCCTGCTCAGCTTTTCTGAGTTTTGTCCCAGGTGTGTGTGATTTTCGTGTGCAAATGCCTACCTCAAGGGGAAGGGTTAGGTTCACGCCTGTAATAATCCCAGCCGGGCTCAGTGGCTCAGCCTGTAATCCTGCGCCTTTGGGAGGCTGAGGTGAGTGGATTGCCTGAGCCCGCGGGGTTCGAGACCCGCCTGGGCAGCGAGACCTCATCCCTACAATAAATCAAAAAAATTCAGCCGGGCATGATAGCGCATGCCTGTAATGCTGGCTACTTGGAAGGCTGAGGCAGAAGGATCACCGGAGCCCAGCAGGTCGAGGCTGCGGTGGCCAGGAGCGGCCACTGCACTCCAGTCTGGGCGACAGAGTGAGACTCCAACTCAAAATAATAATAATAATAATAATCCCAGTATTTGCTGGTGCCCAGGAGTTCAAGACCAGCCTGGGCAACATAGCAAGACCCTGTCTCTACAAAATATCAAAAAGTTAGCTGGGCATGGTGATATATGGTTTGCAAATATTTTATTTTTTTCATTAGGCAGCCCTGTCTTATAGTTTGCAAATATTTTTTCCCCATTCTGTAGGTGATCTGTTTACTCTGTTGATTGTTGTGCTGTGCAGAAGTTTTTTAGTTTAAGTAAGTACCATTTTTCTGCTTTTATTTTTGTTGCACTGGTTTTTGATGACTTGGTCATAAGTCAACATCCAGAAAGATTTTTACTAGGTTTTGTTCTAGGACTTTTGTAGTTTCAAGTCTTATGCTTAGGTCTTAAATCCACCTTGGAGATGATTTTTGCTTATGGTGAGAGGTATAGGTCCAGTTTCATCCTTCTGCATGTGGCTATTCAATGTTTCTAGCACCATCTGTTGAATGGGGTGTCCTTTCCTCAGTGCATATTTTTGTTGACTTTGTTGGATATGAGTTGGTTGTAGGTCAGCAGTTTTATTTCTGGGTTCTCTATTCTGTTTCATTAATCTGTGTGTATTTTTATAGTATTCATTGATGAGTTTGACTTTTAAAAATTAAAACAATGTTGATTGAAATTAACATTTTAAACTTATTTTACAAGCTTTTAAGTTCTTACTCTGATCGGGCGCAGTGGCTCAAGCCTATAATCCCAGCACTTTGGGAGGCCAAGGCAAGAGGACTGTCTGAACCTAAGGGTTACTGTAAACCTATGGGATTACAGGCATGAGTCACTTTACCCGGCCTGCCGTATTCTTTAAATCATCTCTAGATTACTTTAGCACCTAGTGCAATGTAAATGTTATATAATATTGTGATATTGTGCTGTCTAGGAAATAATGATGAGAAAATGTTCAGTACAGACACAACCATTCATTCAAACATTAAAAAAAAAATTGGGGCTGTTTGCCGTGGGGCTGTGTGCCATGGCTCATGTCAGTAATTTCAGCACTTTGGGAGGTCAAGGTGGGAGGATGGCTTGAGCCCAGGGGTTCAAGACCACTCTGGGTAATATAGTGGACTCTAGTCTCTACAAAAAAGAAAAGAATTAGTTGGGTGTGGTGGCATGTACCTGTATTCCCAGCTTCTTGGGAGGCTCAAGTGGAAGGACTGCTTGAGCCAGGAAGTTGAGACTGTGGTGAGCCGTGATTGTGTCACTGCCCTCCAACCTGGGTGACAGAGTGAGACCCTGACCCTTTCCCCACACACAAAAAAAATTGATTCATAGTTGGTTGAATCCGCAGATACAGAACTCACAGATAGGACTGTTTTAGGGGTGGACTTGTGCCTGGTCCTTCAGGGCTTCAAGAGAATATAATTTTAGCATGCTCCCGGCAGCTGCAGCCTCGACCTGCTGGGCTCTGGCGATCCTTCCGCCTAAGCCTTCCAAGTAGCCAGAACTACAGGCACACGCCACCATGCCCGCTAGTGAGATCTTGTCTTTATAGATAATTAAAACATTAGCTGAGCATGGTAGCACATGCATGTAGTTCCAGTTGCTCCGGAGGCTGAGGTGGACGGATGGCCTGGGATCAGCAGATTGAGGCCGCAGGGAGCTGTGATCATGCCACTGCACCCCGGGATAGGCCAGAGTAAGACCTTGAGATAAAAACAAAAACAAAAAACTTCTTAAACCATCTTCTCATGTCTTCAGAAACCAAAATATATCATTTCCAACACTAGTAATCACTTCTGCTACTCCCACT